CAGCTATCTAAATTTAGCACCTTATTTTGTGTTGCAATGCATGTTCCCCCAAACGAAATCCTAATGTTCTATTACACTTTATGTTACACATTGGTCTAGGGTAGAATTTATCATTTTCTCAGATGCTCTCCTTATAACAAAAACACGCTCAATACGTCATAATAGACCCTGTACACAACTTTGAACCATCGGAATGTCATTTTGACCACAGGTTGACCGCGTTGACTCGTCAAACACGTCAAACTCGTCAAACTCTCTGATTTTGGCGAATTTATAAATTTGGAACCACGAAAATGTTAATAAGCACCTCGTATAACAAATTTGATAAGTAAATAATAATCGCAGCTATCTAAATTTAGCACCTTATTTTCTGTAGCAATGCATGTTCCCCTAAACGAAACCCTAATGTTTTATTACACTTTATGTTACACATTGGTCTAGGGTAGAATTTATCATTTTCTCAGATGCTCTCCTTATAACAAAAACACGTTCAATACGTCATAATAGACCCTGTACACAACTTTGAACCATCGGAATGTCATTTTGACCACAGGTTGACCGCGTTGACTCGTCAAACACGTCAAACTCGTCAAACACGTCAAACACGTCAAACTCGTCAAACTCTCTGATTTGGCGAATTTATCAATTGCGAACCACGAAAATGTTAATAAGCACCTCGTATAACAAATTTGATAAGTAAATAATAATCGCAGCTATCTAAATTTAGCACCTTATTTTCTGTAGCAATGCATGTTCCCCTAAACGAAACCCTAATGTTTTATTACACTTTATGTTACACATTGGTTTAGGGTAGAATTTATCATTTTCCCAGATGCTCTCCTTATAACAAAAACACGTTCAATACGTCATAATAGACCATGTACACAACTTTGAACCATCGGATTGTCATTTTGACCACAGGTTGACCGCGTTGACTCGTCAAACACGTCAAACTCGTCAAACACGTCAAACACGTCAAACTCGTCAAACTCTCTGATTTTGGCGAATTTATCAATTGTGAACCACGAAAATGTTAATAAGCACCTCGTATAACAAATTTGATAAGTAAATAATAATCGCAGCTATCTAAATTTAGTACCTTATTTTGTGTAGCAATGCATGTTTCTCCAAACGAAACCCTAATGTTCTATTACACTTTATGTTACACATTGGTCTAGGGTAGAATTTATCATTTTCCCAGATGCTCTCCTTATAACAAAAACACGCTCAATACGTCATAATAGACCATGTACACAACTTTGAACCATCGAAATGTCATTTTGACCACAGGTTGACCGCGTTGACTCGTCAAACAATGGTGTCGTTTCAGCCGACTTCGTTGGACTCCTGTTCAGCAGATATGCAGCGGTCTCTAAAGCATAGCCCCAGAAGGACTTCGGAAGATCTGTCTGACTCATCATAGACCGAACCATGTCT